GAGCGAAAATTCTATGTAACTGTCTTATAAATCACAGCTACGAATTTCAGAGATTTCTTTATTGATTCATTCATTTATTTATACTATATTCATCTCAATTGATTTATAATATTCGAACAAAATCATACAGTTTGAGCAGTCCGCAGTCGTTTTGTAGCGGTCATGGTGCACCGCTCCTGGGCTCCTCAACCCAATGCAGGGGTTCGATCGCGGCTGCTGCCGTCCCACCTATATTAAGGCAAAATTATAGAGATCCTTGTAGTGTGTGATGTCAGTGTGCGTTAGAGAACACTACATTGCCGAACTTTCCGGAGCATTCACATACGGTGTTCATCGCGATGACATTGTCACGATCCTTTTCCCTGGTTTTGTTATCGCTCTATTAGACGTGTAAGTGCGGCCTTGCGTAACCGAGTCAAATGACTGAAGAGCCATCGGGAGAATTGTGGAACATTCCCTTGTGATTGCGCGTACAATCAGAACATTACAGATTACTATGGAACTTAGAAGACCGGTGGCGACAGCGCTAGAATATTCGACGACACGTGTATAAATTTCGACGCACGTCATTACCTGTCAGTTGATCGACGGCCGACGCTCGGTTCACCGCTATCGGTGCCAGTGCGTATATCTGTAGTGTGATCTTCAGTTTTCCGGCCACAAGTTCGGCCAAACGAAGAATTTTCTCTTTGCCATGCCTACTGTGGCCTTTGTCAGCGTCACGACTATGTGACAATATTGTGGTTGTAGGGCGTTAAACCCTGCATAATATTAGTATTATTGTTGTAAGGAAGCAAGAGTGGCACTGAGGCACGGGCACGAGATCTGCTAGCTCGAGGCGGAAGAGAAAGAATTAAAATAAGAAGAGCCGGCCTGCAGCAAGGGCGATGTCTTCTACTCAGCATTACAAGGGCGTGGTACGACACCTGAACCTTGCGGCCACCTGTCCTTCAACGTCTTCGACGTTACGAACCAGCCACGCTAGGAACGTCTAGGCTTCCTAAGCGATGGCATCCGGAAGCTTGCTGCCGTAGGAAACCCAGGCCTCCTCGGTATCCACTGACCTGCCGGCGCTACTAACACCGTCCGGGGAAGGCATTCAGGTCTCCATGGCGACAGTATTATGCCGACGCTTTCAATCATCACCTTCACCACACTTCCATGATCCAGGACATCGGCGCGCTCATTGCTGTGGCAACACAATATTCATCAGCCACCACCGATTTCCCCGGGTAGCTCCTGCGAAGATGCTGCATCATCCGTGACGCCGCATGCTTGTCTCAGCAACTAACACCTTCAAACTAAGGTGTCTAAACCGCTGCCACGAGTACCAGAGGGCCTGTGTTCTGCGCGGTCATCGCTCCTGGCTCCTTGGGCTCCTTGCTCACCCTACCTAGAGACATCATGCGGGTGACATCCTCGCTTGGCCAGGAGCTAAACCGTTTCGCCATACGTACTACCGGGTCCCTGTACTAGACACTACATCATTCACAGTTGCATTGAAACTACCGGAGTTCTGAGGGTTCGAAGACGACGCTGTTCCTGGAGTCAAAACGATGAATGCTCCGGCGCCCGTTACGCCTGGCCACAGCATAGTAAATGGCTGGTGGCTATCCACCGCCTTCGCGATGCTTCTGAAGCCTGGTAGAACTGTGAAGGCGCACAACAAAGCACCTAGCTTCAATGGTGTACCAGGCTGAGTACTACTTTTCGGCCGCTTTTGCAGGGAAGTGGTGCCCTCACTGCCTACTAAAGTTGTTTGCAAGTGCCAGAGGGCAGGAACACCATCTCGACGTGGCACCGCGGCCCTCAACCATCCCACCTTCTCTCGGCCAACGAGATTGTGAAGGGTGTGGAACTGCTGTGCCCATCACCAATGTGCCCACTCCCAAGCGTCGAATTCATGTGAGATGCCAGCTCAATGGTTCCTCTCTGCCTTCCAGCACGAGGACAGACAACACCGCCATTCTCGAGCCTCAACACTTGGCGAAGCTCCTTCTAAGCTCGACACCACACGAGCAGATGGAGTCATCGGCTCTCGACCACCCCGCAGTGGTGGTTCAGAGCCGAAGCCATCTCTTTCTGCACTCTCTGATGAAGATCATGAGGGGCATAAACTCGGCCATGAATGTGCTCGCAGCAGCGTCACCAATGAACGGCTTCTGAGAATCTCCCGCGGCAAACATGACCGGTCGCGAGCTGTGGTCTCCGCCACAGATGGCATAAGCCACATTGTCACTTCCTACACCAAACATGACCGAGCCGCAGTGGTGGCGAGGCCACCTCCAAGCTCGCCAATGCTATAGAGCACATGGAAGGGCCACATCTCTTCATACCTGACATGCCCATGCATTTTACTGTCCTCTTGTGGTGAAACCACAACTATTGGACCTCTTAAACGTGACCCTACAGGGCAGCCCTGAAACAATGAACACGCCTGTTTTAGACGCGCCGTATATTACGGCTTTCTCGCGTCATCACATTATCACATTATTATGCCGAAATACAACAAACCCATACTATTAAAGTTTAATCTACAACACTGAAATATCAATGACATTTGCAATAGAAATGTTCATCAAAATTAAAATGAGCCTGAAAAACATTTAAACAAACAAGAATTATGTTTTCTTTAGAAATGTGGAAGTTTCAACAAACGTCATTATAAATGAATTGTTAAAAACAGATAGCAGTTGAAACAACATTCTTGCACCTAACCACTCCACAGCGGTGGTCCAGTGGCGAAGGTACTCGGCTGCTCACCCGTAGGTCACGGGATCGAATCCCAGCTCTAGCCACTGCATTTTCGGTGGCTCAGGCCCGTGTGCTCAGGTTTGGGTGCAAGTTAAAGAACCCCAAGTGGCCAATGTTTCCGGAGCCTTCTACTAAGGCGTCTCTTACTATCATACGGTGGTTTTGGGACATTAAATCACACATATCCACTTATTGCAGAAAACCAATTTTTCCAACCATTTATAACCTCTTTTGATAACTTTCAGAACTGCGGCTAAAATACGCTCTTAGTTATCAATGCATCTAGGCTCTTCTAATTATGGGCAATGCGCATGATACCTTTTGTATTTACATTATTATTATTGAAATATAGCTCATTCAGTTTGTGTTTAAATAATTACGGTTGGCAATGCGGGATTCGTGAAAGGTAAAATGTTTTTAAGCACTCAAATTTGGTCAGATGTGCATTATGCAGTAGATAAAGTTCAGACGCAGTGGTTTGAGACGATGTTCATCCTGGTTCTACCAGCAACGATGACAGCAAAGAAATGAAAGACCGCCACATAACGCGCGGCACAATCACATCGTGTGATGACCAATCACAGCAAAAGCTGAAAGAACAGTCCTATTCATCCAGCCTGTTTAACCCCCCATGGTGTTATAGTGGCTAAGGCACTCGGCTCACCCGTAGGTCGCGGGATCGAGTCCCGGCTGTGGCGGCCGCATTTTCTACGGAAGTGACTATATTTGAGGCCCGGGTGCTGAGATTTAGGTGCACATTTGAAAACCGCAGGTGGTAGAAATTTTTGGAGCCGTCCACTACGGCGTCTCTCATAATAGTATGATGGTTTTGGGACGTTAAAGTCTAACAAAAAAAATCCTTTTCTCTTCAACACTTACTTTGGCATACCCCAAGCCAAGGAGGCGATATCACGAAAACACCAAAATGTAAGCGTACATACATACATACATACATACATACATACATACATACATACATACATACTTACATACATACATACATACATACATACATACATACATACATACATACATACATACATACATACATACATACATACATACATACATACATACATACATACATACATACGTACGTACGTACGTACGTACGTACATACATACATACATACATACATACATACATACATAGAAATATAATAGATAAGATAGATAGATAGATAGATAGATAGATAGATAGATAGATAGATAGATAGATAGATAGATAGATAGATAGATAGATAGATAGATAGATAGATAGATAGATAGATAGATAGATAGATAGATAGATAGATAGATAGATAGATAGATAGATAGATAGATAGATAGATAGATAGATAGATAGATAGATAGATAGATAGATAGATAGATAGATAGATAGATAGATAGATAGAAACACTAAAATGCCTGCCGTCCTCTAAGCAACGCTTTGCCTTCAATAGCACGAGAACAACTAATTAGCAGATGCAGCCATTCCCTATGGTGAGCTGTGCGTCACTGTGAGTGTCATTAAACCCTTACATACCTTCTGAAATATGACATTGCGTGACAACACACCGGGGTTTGGTGGCGAGCAATGTCCTGTTAAGCTTAACCATGCATGCATACTTACTTGAATTTCACGATTCTTTGTTTTCTCGTGCCGACGTGCAATTTTGACCAAATATGCGGAAATGTGCAGAAAAATTTAGTGTAAGCAACGTGGGCACAGCGAAAGCAACTGTAACTAAATATTTTAAGTCTATGACGCAGAATCCCATGCCATGTGGGAAAAAACATTGGCTGATGAGTGGCATCACACGTAAGATAAGACAGATATAGTTTATAATTTGCTGTTCGAAACGAGCATCGTTTAGGCAATTGAGAGAAACAAACCAGGCATGTCTTCTAAAATGTCGGATACGGAATATTCTGTGAGAAAGAGAGAAAATAAATATGATATATACGGCGATAGTCTGATTTTTTATCAGGGCTCTTTTTCGTGAGCAAATTTTTATGTACTATTGTTTCCTAGATGCGCTCCAGTATACTTATGCTTTTCTCACTAAAAATCGAAGCACTCTCAGTGACCTTATGTTGCAAAATCTGGTTGAACTGTGGAGCTGAGAGCATCAGATCGCGATTTCACAACAAACTTAGTAAACCAGAGGCGAGTCTGAGGGCTTGCCTGATTTTTGTTCTTTGTTTATAAGGTGAAAGGTGAAAAGTTACAAGGTGAAAGGTTCTTCGTTTATTAGGTGAAAACTTTAGATGTCCCATTCAACCTGCAAATTTAAAGTACCAGGTTGGCAGCGTTCACAAAAGTCGGGCAAAAATATCATCGCCACGTGATGACGCCACCGTATTACTTCGTGACCGGTCCCAGTTCACCAAAATTATCGACGTCGTGATCAAGTTACCATGGCGTCTTTGTGACGCGAGATAACGTGACGATACATGCGCATATTATCACGTGACATTATTGCTAATTCATACGCGGCCCGTTCGCTGAGGAAGTGAAAAGCGAGGTCAGGTCTTACAAAGCTTACCACCCCTCCGATCCTCCGGGGGGCATTGCGAAAACATAATAATTGCACAAAGTTTCCGCAGGGGGGTGCGGGAGGATTCCTGCATCGACTTACACGTAAATGAAGAAGACGTCTCTCAGTGGTCATAAGGTGTGTAGTCGGCCTTGCTCAATTCATGGGGCGTAAACCCGCTTGCTTCAGAAGGTTTACACAGCCTCATTTTCTTGTGGATCGGAGGTCAGAAGTGGGGTTTGCAGAATTGACGTGGCACTTAAGTGCAACGGCTGTTGCAGACAGGTTCTTCACTGTTACATGTTACAGACAGATAGATGCTTGTTACTGGCAGGCACCCGATACCTGTAGCGCATATGAGCTTGAGGAGTTTTGCTCGATAAAGCACGACCTACCGATAACTTAAGCTTCACTGTGAAGAGAACGAGGAGAGTGCACGTCAGTTTATTATGGTGATGATGATGACTTTAGTGCTCATCGTACACAGCCGTATTTATACGGCTGGTTAAAACATCTTCGCCTCAAAACTGAACTTTTCCCACAACATCAGTAGTCGGGCATCACGGCCCGATATGAGTGGGTGGGGCAAACCTGGTAAGTTTTGCCACTGTCTACCTCTGGAGGCCGTCCACCACAGGAGTTGCGCCGAGTGGCAACCCACCTCTACGACAGAGTCTCCGGAATAACTGTCATCATTCCCATAGTTGCAGTACATTCTGACATGTGTCGCTTGCCTTTCCTTGCCACCATTTGCACGCGGGTTTATTGTGCTTATCTGGGATTATTCATTTCAGGTAGAATGGAAAACGAAGGACATCTTGTGGAGCGGTCTCGAGGCTACGGTCAAGATTTCTGTTTCAGTTTTGGGCTAGGCGATTGATAACTCCTTCTAGTGCTTATAGATATTTCTGGTATGGTACACTTACTCCTTATGTATACGTCGCAGTTCGGTGTGTTCCGATTAGATGAAATACATCCAGATAACTAGCGACACCCATTCTGCGCCGCACACCAAATATCTAGCTTTAAGCTACCAACTTGCGCTGAAATCGAGAATCCACATTGCGACATACCTTATGTCCCACTGCTTGGTTGCCAAAGGTTTATAACGTGTGATGACCTTGTGAAAGAAAACAAGGTTCGAAGCAAGCAACATTGCGATCAGTGGGCGCGCGCTGATGCCAACTGTCCGCAATCGAATGGCAACTTCCACGATTTCTCGCAATCTTATTCATTATCCCTATACCCCACAACAGCATTAAGTTTCGTGGGCGTATTGCACGGACGGTGGTATGTACTTTTCGTACATGAGGCTTTACCGCCGGAAGCTTTATGCGGGGAAGCTAGCCCGGTTTACTCTATCTTTGAATTGTTTCAGTGAACGTGGGTCTTTTTAGCGCGTGTACCATCTTGCCAAGACTTCGATAACAACAGGACAAAGGAAAACGCTGAACAGAATATTGTGACTGCTTTGGCAGGTCGAGAATTCTAAACAAATCCAAAGATTTCTCAGACCTAACATTATTTAAACTTTTCAAACCGAATGAGGTGTGAAATTGACACTCGGCCCAGTCTGGGGCTTGCCAACGGGATGATAAAGCGAGCACACCCCTGTACTAGTTTTGAAAAAGCCACACTTCAACACACTGTTCTTGTCAGTGAACGAGAATTAAACATTTGAAAGTGTCCGGCAACACGTTTTCAGCATAACATAAATCACTGCCTGTCGGTAGTCGAGGTTACTGGGGACTGCACCTTGGCGTTTACAATCAATTCATAAAGTCACCTAAAAGTCTTTCCATGTTCTTTTCACAAATGATATACGAAATTAACCACGTCATATACCCTAATTCCCATCTATTGGCTGATATGAGCATCGTAAGCTGTCAAGATAGGGTGGCCGCCGTGACAGGAGGCCAAGCTGCTAGGCGACCGCTCGCAATTACATGAAAGTGAACCCCGTATTCGAAGAAAAAAAACACAGCAATGTTCCAGTTCATGGCGTCCTCATGACGTAACTTCTAACACCGTGCCACTCCTTCCCACTAAGCTCCCAGAGCACTCATCGGTATAAAAGAACAAACTGAGCCATTACTTCGTGCGACAAATATCTGTAAGTCAACTACTATTTGCGGCATACCTAAAGATGTTCGTTGCACTGTAATCGCAAGGTAATAAACTTGCCTAACTCTTTCCAGCACGGTGGTCAACCCAGATAACCACCTTTCCTTCATTTTTTTTTCTCTTGAAACACGTGAGCGTGGTGTGTCGGATGGCACATATTTTTCAAAGCTTTTCACAATCTCACAGAGATGACGCTACCTCGTTCAGGCTTTGAATGTACGTGTTACATTTGTTTCCTTCCTTCCGACTGTCGTCATCCTCAAGGCGCACTAGACGGCCAACCCGAGATATTTTTATAGCTATTAAAGTATGTGCTGTCCTTACACTGTCGATAGTGCAGGATGGCATGTTGTATGAGTAGCTATAGCGATGAGGAAACTAGAATTGAAGAACTGTACTTTCACTGAAAGCAACAAGTAAAACTTTACTGCATGGTGGTCCCCTCAGACTGATCATGTATATCTTTTGAACTAAATGTTCCAACTTTTTTTTTCCTTGCGTGATACTTATTTACTACAAAAGCTTGCACCATTTCTGCAATAAAATTCCGTTTCCCGTCAAAAATGAAGTTCTGTGAATGAAAGAGTTGACGAAGCTCTTCCACGCTTACTTTGAACACTGTTGCAGGCCCCACTTAAGTGCACCTAGTATGTATCAGAAGAATGGAAAGAAAAAAAAACTCACCAAGTCAAAGTTTTCGATGTTCAGTGCCTCCGAAAAATACGGCTGAATATAATGTGGGTTGTTAGTTGGCTCTACATAGATAGTGTTTTCAAAACTGCAGCTAAAGGCGAACGCCGAGGTGTAGAGTTTTATGGTGTAATACACTCGTGTATCCTTCTTCAGACTTCCGTGGTTAAATTTGAAACGTTTACTATCGTTATCCCTTGGACCAACCCAGTGGTCCATCCAGTTCCTACACAACATAGCAAAGAAAACATGTCAATGAGCGAGGACACTAAATCCGCAGTTTGGCCAATATGGCGAAACAGTCAATGCGTCAACAACAGACTGGAAAAGTAGATGAAGTAAGAGAACAGAAGGTTCGAAGAGTTGCAGAATTAAGATAAACAGCCTCAAAGGCACTGTGCTTCCGCGTTTGATTCGGAAACTCTTGGAACCTCTCAACAAGCTCCCGGAGTTGAGAGGCAGCATGTCTTACGTGCAGCTGCTACTTGTTTCTGCTTACGGACATGTATGCAAGGGCATTTTCATCACTTTGGGGTAAAACGTGCCCTTCACTGGTTCGGATGGTGGGACGCAAACTTTCAAGCTTTGAAAGCTTAGTTGATTTCCCGTCTACTATTTCACTTTATTAGAATTTAAAATCATAACAGTGTATTTGAGAAGCTACAACTAATGTTCCCTGTGGTTTTTCTTGGTCTAAAGGTTTGTCGGATTCAATAATTCTAAGAAAACGAGACCCTCGAACTATTCCCCAGTTTTTTTTTTCTGGTGTTACTTGCGGACGCTGCCAACACGAGGAGGCCGAAATCGACGCGCACGCGTAACTTTGGCTCATCGTGAACGTAAAATACGACAGATTGGTCGGTCTCTTATAAAGAGCAAACCTCATAAGCGCGAAAATGCACGCGACAGCGACGAGCGATGTTATGAGCGACAAAACAGGGCGTTCGCGCGACGTGTCGCGCGCTCGTTTTCGCGCGATCGCTCGGGTCTCCAGATTTGGAAACCGTCGCTCATCGCCCAGAAATGCTGGGCTCAAGCAGCCAATATCGAAAAACTGGAAAAGACAAGGCCCGAGTCACGTATGCGCAACAAGAAATAACGCAATGTTTACGCATGTGCATGTAAAAAAGTGCTGCAAGGCATTCATAAACACTCTACGTTCCATTACACAACAATATATCTTAATTTTAAGTCACATACCGCTCACCACGCGGTTTTCTTGGTGCGAGTAGACGGCCTCATGCCAGCAACAGTGAAGTTCGCTCGCCGAAGCCGTCGCGTGAATGAGGTTTGCCTGCGCTAGCGACTGATCACACGAAGACGATCTACGTCGCATCGCTCGTCGCTGGCGCGTGCATTTTCGCGCTTATGAGGTTTGGCCCTTATAGTGTCATCCGTTGGTAGATTCGAAGCACTGCCGATAATACTTTCTTCCGCTTCATGCGGAGCAAATCTATTCCACTGGCGCATTGACAGTGCTCACTGTACGTTCCATTGGCATATCTGGAGCAACTCCGCCGTGAGATCCACTCCACGGAGCAACGTTTTCTACTCCGCGAGAAATGGGCGGATTCGACCGGAAGTCGCAAGCGCCCCGTCCCTTGGAACGGTGCCAACTTTGGGTGCGCCAACGGACGCCAGTCACGTCAGTTGTGCCTCGCGTCGGAGCTCGCGTTTCGCAAGCGTAGCGTCGCTGTTCCCAGCGTGTCCATTCAAGCAAGTAGAGAGACGCGTGCATTGCGTTCCATTCTGACTTTTCCATTTGTTCCAGAAGAAGCACATGTGTTCCATTGGCAGACTCTCTTCTGTTGCTCTCCGCTGTGGATGGCTCCGAATCCGCCGATGGAAGACGCCATTAGTTTTTGCATGAAGGAATGGAACTGTAGTTCTGAAATGTTCAAATCACGAAAGTATGTCACTGGGTGATGCAACTGGCATTTAAAAAAAACGTCAATATAGCTAAGGGGCTACGTACGGCATTCTTCACCACGAGGCTATATATAATTAACAATCTTTATTACTGAGCACGCCCACATATGAACAGCGGCGACTCTTTTGGTGAAACTTGAATACAAATGGTGACTTTTGGCGACTCTTTGCTGCTCGTCGTTAGGCAAATTTCACTCGAAAGTCAGTGGCAAGCCTGTTGCCGACATCAAGCCTGCCCAACGTTACTAGACTAGGTTCCTAGGACTAGGAACCTATTCTAGTAACGTTGAGCCTGCCTAAGGCCAGTTTGCAAAAGAGTTCCAACCACCGGCGTGGCTCAGTGCTAGACTGCTCGGCTGGCACGCAGGGCACAACTTATTGACTGTCTCGAATCCCTGCGACAACTTATTGACTGTCTCGAATCTGCTCCGAACGGCGCGTCGCTTCGCGTGTGCGTCGTCCTGAACGGCACACTGTACCGTCGTAGCCTACAGCCAGATGGTCCTGGGCTCCTTCTTGTCGTGCCGAAACATTTGCGTTCAACCGTGCTGCACGAGCTTCGTGATTAACCAATTGCTGGTCATCTAGCTGTATCTCGAACGTACGACCGTGTGCGTCGCCACTTCTTTTGGCGCGAGCTCGCCAGGTCCGTCCGTTCACCGTTACGCGTCCTCCTGCAATAAATGCCAACGTAGGAAGCGACCTACTGCGCCCCCAGCTGGACTTCTTCAACTGATCTCTATCCCAGCCGAACCTCTCCTCCGTGTTGGTATAGATCTTTTCGGTCCTTTTCTTGAGACGAAATCGGGCAACAAGTGGATCGCCGTTGCTATAGACTACGCGACTAGGTATGCCATCACTCGAGTGCTCCCCACCAGCACTGCTACTGACATTGCGGACTTTTTGCTCCACGATGTCATCCTACACCATGGCGCTCCTCGCCATTTACTCACGGATAACGGCCGCGCAATTTTGCCTCGAGTAATTGACAATCTTCTGTGCTCTTCCCCGACGCAGCACAAGTTGACCACTTCCTACCATCCCCAAACAAATGGACTTACCGAACGCCTAAATCGCACCCTCAAGAACATGCTCACAATGTATGTGTCCTCCGATCACCATGACTGGGACCTAACGCTACCTCACGAGACCTTCACGTACATTTCTTCGCACCACGGTTATTCACCCTGGTTATTCACCCTTTTATTTTCTCTATGGCCGTGATCTGACGCTACCACTCGACACCCTATATCCAACCACTACAACGCTGTCAACCGAATATGCACGCGACGCTATTGCTCGTACCAGCACGCAAGTCAGATCGCCCGCCGTAGATTTCCGGCTTCGCAAGCCACCCAGAAAGCCATCAACTACAGCTGGTATGTTGACGTTCACTTCTCACCCGGTTCTCTCGTTCGCCTGTGGTGCCCAGTTCATCGAGTGGGCTTATCAGAGAAATTGTTGTTTCGCTATGGGTCCTTACCGTATCATCCCCAGGCACCTACGACGTCACCGACGTCACCTATGAGATCATTCCCGCATCTGAGGCCACAATTCTGCCTGCAACCACACCCAGTGATGTGTTGCACGTCAGCAGGCTAAAACCTTACCACCTGCCTTCTGAAGACCGTAATATATGCGCACCGAGACGGCGCTTCTAACACCAGGGGGTAATGCTACGTAGCTGACATATCAGCGGTCAGAAGACGACAACGAGGAAGTGGTCGGTCGGTTGTGCGTGCTCTCCGCTATACGCATCAGTGTCAATATAGATTCTAATAGGCACGCCTCATGTCATTTTTACATAACAATATATTCATCATAGAATACCGCCATCCAGTGTACACTCCAAGGGCTAAACGAGAAGTGGCACGGCCGGACTCGTCTCTGTGGGTTACTTTATCAGAAACAACTATCTTTCTATTCATTATTAACGCGCGCTGGTTTCCTTCTTAATTCAAAAAAGTGCGCGCGTGTCACTCCTTTAGTCCAGTCGTAGAGGTGACTACCTACTACTACGACTATTACTACTACGACTAGTATTACTGCTACATACATCGCAGACGCGTGACCCACGGCTTAAGGAGCTTCGCCCCTAATATTCAAGCTCGGCTTCGGCAGCCCCGCTGTCAACCCCAAGTATTGTGGTTCAATGGACAACACGAAAATCACAGTGCTAACGTTACTTCTTTCTAACAGGCAAAAAGGAAGTGTGCTTGTGCGCATTTTTTTTTCTTCTTAAACACGATAGTCTTTCTTGGGGACCTTCGACGCAAAAATTTCGGTTCGTCCGTCTGCCTGTCTGTCTGTCTGTCTGTCCACTCTTAACGGCACCGGGTACTTGAAACGGCCGACCCTATCGGCAGCGTCCACCAATGTTGCTCAAGATCTGGCGTTCATACTTGTGAAATTCTCATATAAAAATCCAATGATTGCGCATGCCTTGGGCACCATAACAAATGGTATATATTCTGCATGTGCGTCTTTTACCAGAAAAGGCATACATAGGTAATTTTTAGGGCTGTAGCGCTTATCACGCAGCGCTGACCATGCAACGCTTGCACGAAAAGGCGAGTGTTTCCAACGCTTTGTTAAAACTAGACGGTAGTGGCACCTACCCATCGCCTTGCGTTCTACACCTTATCACCTCTGAGACGGGCGCCCACACACGTCTCGGAGCTACGCGCTTCGTTTTCCAAGAAAGCTGTCAGATGGCGCTCATGTCTCACGTGTGACGTGACTTTACGCGCTCGGTCGCCTCCGCTGCACGCTCGAGGCACTCTAACGCAGCGCCTCCAGAATACCGTTTACCATTTTTTTGCGCAGAACATCAAATAAATGTTTTGTTCACTCTCTACACACACGACTATCGTCTTTCGAAGCCATTTGCAGATTAACATGCAACTACGGGGCCCATTGCGTGTGTGTGTGTGTGTGTGTGTGTGTGTGTGTGTGTGTGTGTGTGTGTGTGTGTGTGTGTGTGTGTGTGTGTGTGTGTGTGTGTGTGTGTGTGTGTGTGTGTGTGTGTGTGTGTGTGTGTGTGTGCGCATTAGTTTACAGTGACAAAGCGTCTCGCCCTTCGCGGAGATGCAATTTTCAACGCAGCGACGGGTGATGCTCTCTTACAAGTAATAAAATATTAGGATCAGTTACAAGTGAGGGCCATGGGGAAGTTGTATCGTACCAGCCTATTAGCTCTAAAATGTAAGCCAGGACTATTCTGTCTGCGTATGCCAACCTGCTTTTGGTATCTCTAAGCCACGGCCTCAACCCCATTAACAAAAAAATAAGATGATCTCCCCAGCGACGTAAAGTAGTCAGGCTTTCGCACTTCGTAGCTCTAAGGTAAGGGTGCGATCCTCACTTCGTGTCCACTGCACGTCAGGGGGCGGGCGCGAGGCATGAGTAACGGTGCGTAGGGCCTCCACTAGAGAGGCCAGCGCTGTCATCGTTTTGACTTCACATATAGGGTAGCGATTGTTGAATACGGCAGCTTTGCTTTCGCTACACCACTTGCATCGTCCCCCGTGGCTTCACCGGTTCTCAGTCGCAATTTTACGATGCAAATTAGATACGAGAGTGCCACTGGAGGCGCCGAATACTACAGGTTTTCCCGCTCACTTTAATCCAAGTGCCAGCCTAAATAATCTCCATGCCATTGAAATAATCTGAGTGCCGAGCTATTTAATCCACGTGCCAAACATTTATTCCAAGCGCCAACATATTTAATCCCAGCGCCAACTCACTCAGGCCGCGTGCCATTGAGTTTATTCCAAGTGCCACCGTATTTAATCCAATCGCCAATGAGTTTAATTCAGGTGCCAGTCAGTTTAATCCATGCGCTAGAAACACACAGTTAGCCACTATATATAGTATAAATGTCAGAATAACGTAAACATGGCGTCACAGCAAGAACTTTTCCCTCGGCTATACATGGTAGCGCTTATGCAATGAAGTGCGCAGTGCGACTTCCCCTTAACATTTTGGTGTCATAGCTTCAAAATAAAGAAACAGTCAGTATTAATTGCATTTATGGGTACTTAAATGTATTTGCTCATAGAGTTCATGTCAGTTTATATTACATTGCTACTTCTTCGTTCCGGTTAACCATCTACACCATCGCATATGCATAGATTCGTGTCGTCTGCTGAGCAGACGGCATTTGGCTACTTATGCGCTGAGGCTACCGCAGTCGTCTGCTCAGCCCAGGGATAACAGTGACCGACAGATGATACTAATTTGTTCTTGAAATCAGAAATAACTACTTAAAAATACCAAACTTGCATTTATTCGGGTTCATGTGGAAATAAGTTGTTATAGAAGCATAAAAATAGATACTCCGGTTTTCATGTAACAGACGACGCTTAGTGTAGCTGAAGCGTGTTTACTTGAAACGTGTGTTTTCATACGGGAACATTTGCAGACGAAGATGGAGCTTTGCTTGAAGTCATGGCTGGACGCAAACGAGGATCACACATTAAGAACGCCGACGAACCTCGTGGAAAAAACAGCAGAGTATCGGTGGTCGACAGGGCTAGGATTGTGGACGTTTACAGGCGTGGCGGTGACTTAAAGTAACTGACCGACGCTCTAGGCATCAACATTAAAACCACAAGATCGATTGCCGCTACCGACAGAGAAACATCAAAGCATGGTGGGGGTTCAAAAAGGAAGTTTGGAGATGACGTCGTGAGTACTTTGAGACGAATTGTCGACGAAAACTGTACATTTACATTGAAGCAAATAAGGAGGCCCTGGAGAAAGATATGCCAGGAGTAACAATCAGTGCAAGCCCAGTCGACCGCTTACTGGATGCCCACTGCTACTCGATGAAGCTAGTGACGCAGAGGTCCGCAGATCGCAACCGTGACGATATCAAGCACAGCCGCATGCTGTACGCCCAATGGCTGCAGTGTGATGGACCGCGTGTTTGCCGCTTCTATTTGGATGAGACTAACTTTATTATCTGGTGTTCCAGGAACTTCGGCAGAACAGCTAAAGGACAACCAGCCTGTGCACATGACCACAACGACAAAATCAGTAAACATGAACATTATAGCATGCATGTCCGTAAATGGAGTTATTCACTGGACTGTGGTGTACATAGTTCATTGGGTTGTTTTTAATGACTTCCTCAGTGATGTTTCAGCCCACGTAGAACGTGATGAGCCAAATACCGAAGCTGTATTCCTTTTTGATAATGCACCTGCTCACGCTCGAGCAGAACAGGCGGCTTTGGCTAACTTCATGCCCTCTATTAAGCGCCTGCCAGCGTACAGTCCCTTCTTTAACCCTATAGAAGAAGCCTTCTCGAAATTGAAGTCACAGGTGAAGGCCTACCTGAACGAACGTCGTAATTTAGTTTTAGTGACACCGCAAGGCATGACGAAAAAGGAGCACAGGCGTTCTTTGCTGCTCGATGCGGCTCGCCACTCCATGCAACTAATACAGCGCGTGGACTGCGCGGCCTTTGATCGGCACAATTTCTCTTTCGTGCCTGCCGTTTTGCGTGAAGATGACTTGTGAACATCCGTCTCTGAGCCCTATGAGACAGTTCTGTTTTCATAAATACAATAACCTCTGCCTATGTTGCATTTCTTGAGTAATTTGTAGTAATCACTCTTGTTTTCCTGTATATGTATATGTATGTATGTGTACACACACACACACACACACACACACCTATATATATATATATATATATATATATATATATATATGTGTGTGTGTGTGTGTGTGTGTGTGTGTGTGTGTGTGTGTGTGTGTGTGTGTGTGTGTGTGTGTGTGTGTGTGTGTGTGTGTGTTGAGATAGAAAGGGGGGACAGAACAAATAATTTAGTGATTGCACTGAATTCGCAAGCTTCCGATGTGCGATGAGAGGCATAATGCCGCGCAAAAAAAACACGTACACAAAAAAAAAGAAAGTGAGGCCCAAGGTCAGTTGCGTGTTATTATCATTTTGTTTCCTCTGTGTTCGTTTTATCGCAACTAACAAGCTAATCGAACAATCAGGACTGTTCGTATCATTGGAGACATTCAACTTTGTTTGAATAAAAAAAATAAGAGCATACAATAATGTAAAATGAAACTTCTATTGCTACATCAAGATGATCAGTTTACGTTTTATGTTCACTACAGGAAAAAACATTGAAATTATCTCTAATTCACAGAGCGTGCTGCGCGACGGCTTCCTAATTTCTTGATTATGTAGCTGTCTTTGACCCATCCCTGCTCACGACCATGCTTTTAACCTCTTAGTATGCGTTCCTGCACTCCAATAAACATAGTGTGTCGTTCGCATTACATGACCTATCCTGGTCATGTAATGTTGTAGTGTGTACCAAAGCCAATTATGAGCTTCAGTGACGGCTACTGAATTTCATTGCACTGTAAAATATTCAGTAATATGTTCCTGCGTTTTTTTCGTTTTCATTAAACTTATTTCACCTGGGCCAAGCACTCATTATGCAAACTTGCGCATAGCAAAGTATAAGCACTCCAAACATGGCTTAAGCGAACCACCGCAGTAATTTTTTTTCAAGAATATATTTGTGAATACCAATAATAATGATTGATTCTACCTTCCGACTATTGTCTTTTATAGTGTAGGAACTGCATTTCAATTACACTGCCGTTTTTAGGCCCCGTATTCTGGTCTTTTGCCTTTAATGACTTTAATTCAGGTCTCGCACCAATGACTTTAATTCAGGTCTGGCACCTGAATTAAAGTCATTGGCAATTGGATTAAACACGGTGGCACTTGGATTAAACTCAATGGCACGCGACCTGAGTGAGTTGGCGCTTGGATTAAATATGTTGGCGCTTGGATTAAATGTTTGGCACATGAATTAAATAGCTCGGCGTTCAGATTATTTCAGTGGCGTGCAGATTATTTAGGCTGGTACTTGGATTAAAGTGAGCGGGAAAACCTGAAGTTTGCTTGCCCGTGTTATCAGGTCTCACCGCATCTTTAAGCACTGAGCTTCAAAATTGTCCACTGCAAAAGCGCAAGATGTGCGCCATTCTAGCAGACAAAGTAAACCCGGCATCCTATGAGTGAAGTCATCACGTAGGCGGCGCCATGGTATGTCCTCGAGGCCAATAGTTACATTTAAGAGCACGTCATCAAATTTCCACGTCTACTGCCGAATCCTGGCTGGCTTTTCGTTCTGAAAACCAAATAATTTTATTTTTATTACGGTTTTGAAGACTTACTCTTTACTGTTGTCCACAATATCGCATGTGAGTATTCCGATGGTCCCTATTGGCAACCAATAGTTCCTGAAATACGAGCTCCGTCCCTGTTGAAAATACAGCAAGAGAAAAATGGCGAATCTTACGTACAGTGGGAACCGATGATATGCGAAGCACGAATAAGCAAGTTTGGTATGCCACTTTAAAATCACCACAACGTTACGAGGAAGTGGTAAATTATGCTGTACATGACTTCCATGTCATGATTATTATGTTTCGACCTGTCATTTACATTCTTCGTCCATTCAAGTCACCGAACATTAAATTTGGTGTACAGTGTTGTGCCACAGACATGTTCCTCGTTCGGGAGCACGTTTCACGAGATCGAGCGCTGTTCCGACGAACTGACTCCCCCTCCCAGCGCTGCCTTCCGCACAGAAGAACCGTGCAGTTCCGGGGATAACGTCGCTTCCTCCGCCGAACCACCTTGCAGTTCGGGTATGGCTGCGTCTCCTCAGCCGAGCCACTGTGCCGTTCCGTGGAACTGGTCTCGCAGAAGAGTCCCAAAACGCTATTTAAGGCCGTGTCCGGCCCCATGTTAGAGGGATTTTGCCCCAGCCGACGTTGTCGTGCTGGCCGGCTCTGTACAAACGACAAGCTGCTGCAGTAAACGCTTACTTTTGTTGCTGTTTTCAAAACGGATTGCCTCCCTGTTTCGCCTTCGGGCTAAGGCTTCAGCGAAGTCCGCTCGACGGCTCGCCGCTCTTCGCCACCGCTACCATCGCGACAGAGCAAATTCGTAACAGTGGTGGCAGCGGTGGGATACGATATCCTACGTTTGGCACGCCGGATTGGACCCCTGAAAGCTCGAGCACGACCGACCTGATATTAGCGTTTGAATACGCTGGATACACTACCCCTGTCCTCAACGTTTTGCTGCTCTGGGACCCGCTACCCCGATCTCAACGGCTGAAAAGTTGGATCGGATCTTCGAGCACGAGGACGACCACCGTGATAGCGTTTAACTACGCTGCGATACGCTACCCTGTTCTCATCGTTCGGCAAGCTGGGACAAGCAACCCCGGATCTCAACATTGGCAAGTTGGACCAGATCCCTGGAGGCCTGATACTGTTCGACGGCAGCCACGAGTTCGACCATCGTCGGCTACTTTGGTTGGGTGAGTGCCCAACGTTTACTGTTCATTTCGCCAGACCTCTCTAGCACAGGCAGATGTTAAGAGAGCGTTTTGTGTTTTGTTAGTTGTAATTTATTATTCACGTGCTCTAGACCATGAGATTAGTTGTAGAGTACGGTGAATATCAGTAGCTGAGCATCATGAGGGACGAGATCGCGATGGAGCAGTACCTGGTGCAAGACCTCCTTGAAATTTGTGGAGCCATGGGGATTTGCGCCGGGTCCGCTAAAACAAAGGAAGCGATTCTCGAGGTGATGCGGGCAGAAAATGTGACTGCTGATGAGGCTGACGAGTTTTGGGAGCTCATTTGCGAGCAAAAGCAGAAGGCCGAGCAAGGCCGCGAAGAGCTCGAAGCTCAAAGGCACGAAAAATGGAAGGCTGAGGGAAGTCGCAAAAGGAGAGAGCATGCTCTCAAAATGACAGAGCTTGATCTTAAAATTCAAGCACTTAAGTGGGAGCGAGCGAAACACCAGCTCCACAACTTTCAGACAGGCGAACATCGCGTATTTTCTTGATGATTTTGAAGATGTTTGCAGTAATGTGGGTGTAAGCCATGACCTTTTAGTGGAGAAGCTCGCCACGTTGTTGCCGCGCAAGATCGCGCATGTATTAAATTGTTTACCCTCCGAGGAAGCACGAGATTTTAGTCAGGCTAGATATGCTTTGATAAAATATTTTTTCATATCAAGTCCTGCTGGAAGTCAGAGCGATAGTAACAGCGCTGAAGCACGTGGTAAGGCGCTAAAGGTAGACGCCGACCGAAAAGGGCGAGAGGACGATGCGCGCAGTAAAGCGATGGGGGCCCGTCGCTCAGCGCTTCAGGAAGAGGAAAATCGCGAGGCATCTGACGTTGAGGCCCGTCACAAGGTGCAAGACACCGAAGTGCGTTGGAGAGAGCCAGACGGTGAGGTGAATCGCGAGGAGTTAGGAGCCGAGGCCCATCGCATAGCTAAGGACGTGGAGGTGCACCGTAAAGTGCGGGAGACGGAGCCCCTTCGCAGCGCACATGATCATGATGAATCGCGTCAAATAGAGCATGAGGCCGACTACGAAGGCCTGGGAACAAGGGCTATCTTTGAAAGGGAGAGACCCTTACAAACTGAACAGAAACTTTCGGGCGAGATGGTTAACCTTAAAAGCATCGGGACTCCCATTCTGTCGCAAGCAGAGACAGCTAGCAACGGGCCCGAGGAAAAGCTAGCTAACCAGTCTGGAGCTTTGACTCCACAAAGTGAAGGTGGTGTACTTGCGAGTATGAATACCAGTGCTCTGAGCACGGCGATCAGTTTCATTAGGCAGAATTGCCGGCGAAAACATAACGCAAAGTCGAATAACGCCAAGCCTGCCAAAGCAGCTAAACGCCATGGCTCTCTAGAGGCCATACTCAATATCAGGGCTGGGGTCGGGACAAAGCTCAGTAAGAAACAGTTGAAATTGAGGTCGCTGCTGAGATCTAGATTAAACGCGAAGCGCGTCACGAAGAAAGGAACTTCAAGAAAAAGCCGACGCCGAAATCTTCGCTTGGTCTCATCCTTCTCACTGCCACGTAGATGCAAGCATGGGGGGAAACGTTGCAAGCGCTTGAGCTGTAATACAAGCGGTTGTTCCCCACCGTGGCGAATGGGTCACTGGTCAAGCGGGCGGGCTAAACAATGCAGTGCAGATGCCCTCTTGTTCGTGTTAAGCAGTTGTACGTCAAAAGTTGCTGCTACCGAGTTCGGCAAACAGCTTTGTTCGTTGTGCCTTTGTCGAAACCGGATTCCTCGAAAGCTATGGAGTGCGTGACTCCCCAGAGCTCGTCTGAGAGGGCCCTCGTCTTGCCATTACTAAGAATGAATATTGTAATCTGCTTTGAAAAATATTTTTCTAGTTTTTTCGTCAGCCGTTGAGCAAGGAATGCGTCTGAACTTTTGTAAGTTTTCTTTCCTTCTCATTGGAGAAGCAGGCATTGATATGTTTGTATGATTAAACTTTTTTCGTAATGTTTCAAAAAGTAACAGTTTGCGTGTTTTATTTTAACAGAGAAGGCATACTAAAAGCCCCTGTTTAAGATACCTTCTATGTTCTGCATTACGTGTTATTATGCACGTCAGTCTAGGTTAACCTTGTTTTGTATAACGCACGCAAGTTTGATTTTCAGCCTTAGTTTCTTAGTTTTTTCAAGCATGTTTTCTCTTGTTTTGATGATAATTGGCTGAGCCCATGCAAGTGACAGCTTGTAGGAGGACGAACTTTGTCAAGTTTGGCAATCTTATGCTTACAGGCGACGCCATTGTGCGTGATTCAGGACTGCTTGGCGTACTAAATTGTAGTTTTGGTGCTAAAATGAGCAATCCTCAGAAGCTTCGATCGTCCATAATCTGCCTAAATCACAATTGAGAATCGCTTGAAAAAAAAATTCTGTTTGTTTAGCAGTGTCATGCACTGACACTTAGCTAAAGTGTGTCCACATTTTGTATTCCTCCTGAGATACGTTGCTCGTGATGCTACTTTTTAGCTCAGCGTAATTTCGAGGAAATATTTTCGTTTCTGCTGGTCTGGCGATTTGATCAGCATTTGGAGGGTGCTTGCTTTGGCCAGAGTGGTTCGGCTTTGTGTTCGACTCCGTCGTTCCAGTGAACCTCTGCAGGCCTATGAAAGTCTCAACGGGCGGAGAGAGCGGAACGGCTACCGACGGTCTACCAGCATCCCTCCTTCCGAGCCGCGCTGACGGCTCAAAACTCCGGATGCATTGTCTGGCGGCGGGGGTGCTGTTGTGCCACAGACATGTTCCTCGTTCGGGAGCACGTTTCACGAGATCGAGCGCTGTTCCGACGAACTGACTCCCCCTTCCCAGCGCTGCCTTCCGCACAGAAGAACCGTGCAGTTCCGGGGATAACGTCGCTTCCTCCGCCGAACCACCTTGCAGTTCCGGGTATGGCTGCGTCTCCTCAGCCGAGCCACTGTGCCGTTCCGGGGAACTGGTCTCGCAGAAGAGTCCCAAAACGCTATTTAAGGCCGTGCCAGCCCCATGTTAGAGGGATTTTGCCCCAGCCGACGTTGTCGTGCTGGCGGCCTGTACAAACGACAATCTGCTACAGTAAACACTACTTTTGTTGCTGTTTTCAAAACGGATTGCCTCCCCGTTTCGCCTTCGGGCTAAGGCTTCAGCGAAGTCCGCTCGACGGCTCGCCGCTCTTCGCCACCGCTACCATCGCGACAGAGCAAAATTCGTAACAACAGGGAGCTGGTGAAACGGCTGCGAGCACGCTATGAACGTAGCTTGTAGCCATGCTTTACATGACACTATACCATTATCATGTATAGACGTGTCATTTACCTTCGTCGTCTATTCACGTCACGTCGTCATTCAGATTTGGCATGTGTGGAGCTAGTGAAACGGCCGCGAGCGCATCACGAGCGTGGTATATTGTCATATTTTTACATGGCGTTTGTCACGATTATCATGCTTGCACCAGTCATATACCTTCGTAATTCATTGACGTCACGTGACAGCAAAGTTGGTATATGTGAAACTAGCGAAGCGGCCGCGAGCGCATCATGAAGCGCCCAATATACTCCGAGATAACGTTGACGATCGCGCACGCTGGGCGCAGCGACGCTGCGCTAGCAAAGCGGACGCCAGGCGCGACCGTTGCGACCATGCAGCGTCCATCGGCATTGGCTGGTGGCAACCGGCGCGAAATGCAACATGCTGCATTTCGATGTCCATAACGTTACCCAGCTCTACCTATACAGCACTGCGTCTGCCTCTCTTCGTGATGAGGGAACGCCGGGTGCGCTCAAACGCGCATGCATAGAAGCAGCGCAGGCGCAGATCGGCGCCTGGCATGCCATCGCCGGCGTGACATGGCGAAACGAACGCCGGCGCGCACGTGCGCCGGGTTCATGTCAAAGTGTAATGGCGCTTTGAATATGGCATGTAGCCATGTTGTTGCATGACACGCATCTCATGATTATCATGTCTGCACCAGTCACATACTTTCGTCATCCATTCACGTGACGTTATACCAAGTTTGGCATATTTAAAGCTAGCGAAATGTTTGCAGTGCATCATGAGTGTGGCATGTATTCATGTTGTTACATGACACGCATGTCATGATTATCATGTTTGGACGTGTCCTTTACCTATGTCGTCCGTCCGCATCGCGTAATACCAAAATTGGTACACGTGAAGCTAACGAAATGGCCACGAATGCATCATGAGCATAGCATGTATTCATGTTGTTACATGACAAGCATCTGATGTTTATCATGTTAGCACCAGTATCATACCTTCGTCATTCATTCACGTCCCGTAGTACCAAATTTGGTATAAGTGAAGCTAGCAAAACGGCCGCCTGCGCATCATTAGCATGGCATGTAGTCATGTTGTTACATGACATGCATCTAATGATTATCACGTTTGAACCAGTCACATACTTTCGTCATCCATTAACATACCGTAATACCAAATTTGGTATGTGACGCTATCGAAACGGCCGCGAGCAAATCATGAGCGTGGCATGTAGTCATGTTTTTACATAACACGCATAGCATGTTTGGTATCGATACCATTACCGAAACAGCCAGGAGAGTTAAAAGTCGTAAGCGCATAGATAGATAGATAGATAGATAGATAGATAGATAGATAGATAGATAGATAGATAGATAGATAGACAGACAGACAGACAGACAGACAGACAGACAGACAGATAGATAGATAGATAGATAGATAGATAGATAGATAGATAGATAGATAGATAGATAGATAGATAGATAGATAGATAGATAGATAGATAGATAGATGGATAGATAGATAGATAGATAGATAGATAGATCGATAGATAGATAGATATAGATAGATAGATAGATAGATAGATAGATAGATAGATAGATAGATAGATAGATAGATAGATAGACAGACAGACAGGCAGACAGACAGACAGACAGACAGACAGACAGACAGACAGACAGATAGATAGATAGATAGATAGATAGATAGATAGATAGATAGATAGATAGATAGATAGATAGATAGATAGATAGATAGATAGATAGATAGATACGCTGAAAGTCGCCGAAGTTCATCAAGAAATTCTTCGCATCTGAAAGTACTGTGTAGCGAGGGTAGGGAGACGTTAGCCACTTTTTTCGTCGGCTGAAGCTGAGTGGCGGCCGCTAGCAGCGTCCGTCACGCCAGGCACGTGAACCCGTTCTCTTCTCACGCAGCTGCAGCTACGCGTGAGTTGCGTTAGAGGTGCGGCGCGTTGGCTAAGAAATGTTGATGAAAATGGGGACCATGATGACGATGATAATGACGCTACATACGCTAACCCATGTTCAAAACCTAGCAGCGCTGTTTCTCACACGTTTAAAGTAATGGTTCTCGAGAATTCTCGCGCATAATATTGTTGTACATTTAAGGAGTACGTAGAAATGAACGCTAATAGGGGAACTTAAAATAAAATTTTGTTTTCGTGCAATGATTTCATGTTTCTCTCGGAGTTCAGAAGCTAGACACTTTTGTTTCGACTACATTGGGCAATACTGTAATGGGGACGGGGCGTGTAGCAAGGTAGTAGACTCCATCTCCAGATGACAAATGTTTGGCCGAGCTTGACACGAAATAAACACTCTCATATTGCGCACGACGGAGGGTTGGGGGCGGCCGCATCATAACCTAAGAAGAGAGGGGGGGCGAAGCTAAAAGTGAACTCTACTTTTTTCACCTTAAATAGTATATGCTACTGCCGGATCAAATGAAAAAGTTCGCGCGGTGATAGGTTCCTTCTCAATCTCACTTTACGCTATCTTTTCTATAGCTTCCACCTTATTTGAATATTTTCATCTGGACCTTTACAAAGTGCTGGACTTACTTACCCAGTAACCGTTAGGCACTGCGCCATCCTCATTGATCATGTGAAATGAAATCATGTATTGCCCACTCGCTGTAAGGTACAAAGTCCATGTGTAATCTGCAAATCAAGAAGAAAAGGTTAGCACTGGCAACCGGTATTAGCCTCGTGTTTCAGCCTTCTTCTATTGGGCCAAGGCACGTGGCTCAAACACTTACCGCAAGTCTGCGGCTACTCAAGCATGACTGCCCCGAATAAATTCGGCTATATTGTTGTCTTTTATTGCGATAACAAACATATGGACACACTCAGCTGACTTTAGCCATGGCCGTCACCGTCAGGCTGTGTGCGTGTGTGTGTGTGCGTGTGTGTTTGTGTGTGTGCCTGTGTTTGTGTGTGCTTGTGTGCGTGTGTGTGTGTGTGTGTGTGTGTCTGTGTGTGTGTGTTTATGCATGTATGCATATTTATGCTTGTATGTGTCTACGTATTATAATGAGCAAAGAAAAATAATCACAAGAAAACATCTCGAGGCGCCGGACCGGATATTCAAAGCAGTGACCCTCACTGCACCGCGTGCTTTGTTCGACCACTCAGCCGCGAATTATTCGTGTTCCTGAAATAATAACGGCGAGTTATTTATATACACTCTTTGCCGCTAGCGGGATGCAGATCTCGGAGGCGCACTAGCTTCCCGCCTACATTTTTTTTGTAATTTGAAAACTACCCGTAAGGCTGCACTTAACTATTCAGGCGACCCCTTATTTTATATTTGAGAGTTTTACATGTCAGCGATATCCTGTCTCATGTACACACTTCATGTCGTAGTGCAGATTATTTATCGCATGATGTAACTCGAAAAGTTCAAATTGTGCATTGCTACTGTGTGTCACGTAGAGTTGAAAGTGACTTGCGTTGTTGAAGCTTTCGCATATGACTGTATTTTGTGTAATAATAGGGTGCTTTAAAGCACAAGAAATTATGTAGGTGAAACTTGCTCTGAACCCACTACATGGTTTTAGGAAAATACGCACTTTAAGCTCTTGTGTTTTGTAATGGGCGGCTGGCTTCAAACCCCGAAATCCTTGTGATATGTTCTGGTACCCGATGGTAGTGTACGCTTTCAAGAAGCAATATTACTTCGATAATATATGTTCTGTTACACCTTGTTGATGGCACTGATAATAATTATTATTTATAACTGTGTGCATCTTCAATAATTATTTATAGATGCACCTTTAACACCCTTGTGTTCAAGGGCCGGAAGTCATGTGCTTTGTTTTATGCAATCACCGGAGTAGCAAGCTCTTTTCGGAGGTCGTGCTATGAATTTCTCGGCATTTCACATAAAAACTTTGCTCGTCTTTTGAAATTGAGAGCAATGATTCATGTTTGAAAAGTGATTCCCCAGCGATCAGCACTGCGGGGTGGAATGGTATTTGTTGTCGGTAGTGTGATGGAAAATGTTGCTTTATAAAAGCGACTAATTCTTAAGAATCAATTAATATGTGAAGCACAGTTAATACTTCAGCACATCTTGGGCACACAAGTGGATCGCCAGTGGACGAAACACATGAGTGTGTCTTGTATGTGTGTCCTATCCACAGCCAGGTATGTGTCACTTCTGTGCGGCGTTACACTGATACTGGCTGCCAATGACCGAGTTGTGGATCGGTCATTGGCTGCAACTCGGACATCAATAAGCCCTCAGCATTCGTTTCAAGAGAATTTAGCACTCAATCGCAAAAATCTCTACGGATATATTGGCATTGGTTGGGTTGATGGATGCAGCTAGTTGGTCTGTCGAATCGTTTCCGTGTGCCTCGTGGTGTTCTGGCACCGAGCACACTATGTCATTCTGTTTCTGTGAGAAGACTGTGCGCACAGGTGAGTAGAGATATACAAGGACAGGCTCTTTGTGTTTTTTCATGCTTTTGAAGGATTTTACCATGCTTAGAGAGTCGACGTAAATTACTGCACTTTGTAGGTTTTTTTTTTTGCTTAATGTGCTGAACAGCTGAAAGTGCCGCATGAGCTTCTGCTTGTAATAGGATGAAAACAGCCGGAATCTGAAAAGTATGGCCCTCCCCACAGCATATATGAGACAGAAGTGTTAGACGTTAAGGCATTGGTATAGAATTTTAGACAACTGTATTTGTGCTGGAGTTTGAGGAAGTAGCTGTAGATGTGTGCAATAGGCGCATGCTTTGCGACATCCATAAAAGAGACATCATGGTCTGTAAACTGCAACTGCCATGGTGGCAGATATGCAGCAGGAACCACCAAATGGTCGTCAAAAAGTGGCACACCCGTTTCCTCAGCGAGGCTCTACACATGTAGTGAGTAGGGCTGTTTAACGAAGGGCAGTCATGGAAAAAGGCAGAAATGGACACATATTTCATTGTCAAACGACAGGTGTGTTCCTTGCCTGCGTTTACTTTCACATGGCATATAAAGAATAGGATATCCGGAGATATAGCATCCATTCGATCGAGTCAGCGTACAAGCTTTTCACGGGGCTTGTGCGAAAAGCGCCCCATAACATGCAGTCGAATGCCCAAATGGTACACAGGGTCCAGCACCTTCAAGGCACTTGGTGTAGCAAATTGGTAAACAACGGCCCCGTAGTCTTGGTGAGTGCCAATGAGGCTTTCATAAAAACTGAGAAGGCACTTTTGGTCACTACCCCACGTGCTGCTTGACAGCACTTTCAAGATGGTAATTGTTTTTAAGCAGTTGCTTACTATAAATTTGATGTGGGGTATGTAGGTTTGTGTCTAATATGAGGCCCAAGAACCTATGTTACACCGGCAATCTTCTGTTTGACGTTGCATATTTTGTTGCCAGACTTGCAGGGTCAGTGTTGCCAAACTGCCGCCAGATTTGGCAGAGAAATTTGACACCGTAGTTGCGGTTTCTCCGTGAGGGTTTGGTGTCGTCCGCGGTGCATTTCGCGAGTGCATGAGCGACGCTGGCCGTTTTAATTAACGGAATCAACCGCACCTTGCAGACGTTGGGGCACGTTCTCTCGCTGTGTGAGCTGCTGTGCAATTAAGAGATCATGTCTCAGAGTTAGGGAATCAATGACGCGTCGTTCGCCGTGCATTTCGCGCTCGCGATGAACTTGTTCGCGAGTGTACGTGCGACGTAATTAACGCAATGAACCGCGCGGTACAGAAGTCGGGGCGCGTTTTCTTGCTGTGTGCGCAGCTGTGCACTTAACAGATCGCGTTTCAGTATCAGGGACGACGGGGAAAACCTAATAGAGTCGCAGCAGGCAGTGCGCTGCTCTCTCCCCCCCTTCTTTTTTTTTAAGTGTGAATACACTTTATAAGCGACCCCAAACCATCCACCGGCGTCGGCGGCGTCCGCAGTCTTCTCTCTATCTTTAAAAGAAAGAGGACTTGGCGGGCCGCAGCGCGACGCTCTCCCGAATAAGCCACGGACGCGACGCTGACATCGGTGTCGCTCCTCCGCTCTTCTCGCTCGCTGCAGCTGCGCGCGCACCCCCCTCTCTCGCGCGCTCGCCTTCTCTCTCAGTCTCCCGTCGAGAGCGGGTCGTACGATGGATGTCCCGGAGGCAACGCTACCATCTGGATATAAGGCGCGTTACTGACACGGATATATATATATATATATATATATATATATATATATATATATATATATATATATATATATATATATATATATATATATATATATATATATATATATCGCCATGGGACCCCGCATAAGCATTCACTATTTGGAATTTTCGTCGTCTGTGCTTATTGGGGGTGGGGCCCTGCAAGCGATGGCAGCTCGTCGGCGGGGTCCTATTTACAGGCACGTGCGAGTCGCGCTTAGTTCGCTCCAACTGCGTCGATAAAGCAGCCTTCCAGGCGTATATCGCTGTAGCATATCCGACGTACCCTGATTAGCCAGCCTTGGGACGTTTATTCGTCACATGTGCACGAGTCCGAACAATATGTTTTGTGCTGACACAGCTAGGGGAAGCGTACGATCCCTGTCGTGGCACGATCAGCTGCAAAAAAAGAAAGGGGTCAAAGCGCCAGCTGCCACTCTATTCAGTTTTCCCCGTCGTCCCTAATACTGAGACGCCATCTCTTAATTGCACAGCTGCGCACACAGGAAGAGAACGCTCCCCGACTTCTGTAACGCGTGGTTCATTGCGTTAATTACGTCGCACGCACACTCGCGAACAAGTTCATCCCACTGGTGAAATGTATGGCAGACGACGCGTCGTTATTCCCTAACTCTGAAACACGCTCTTTTAATTGCACAGCAGCGCACACAGCAAGAGAACGCGCCCCGACTTCTGGAACGCTAGTTTTACGTTCGTTTTGTAATTTGAACGGTCAACGTAGCTCACGCGCTCGCAAAACTCACCGCGGATGACACCGGTTCCTCACGAAAAAGCCGCCGAATTTCTCCGCTAAATTTGGCGGCAGTCTGGCAACAACCACCCCAAAATCTGGCACATGATTTATGCAACGCCAAACAGAACCTTGCCTGTTCAACCTTTACAGAGAGACACTGACCACGAAGGTCAATGTCAGGATCTGAATGAAGGTTTTTCTTCTGGAGAACACGGTGCAACTGCTCTTCTGTGGCTTCAATTTGAAGCCATTTTTGTATGCCCACTTCAAGAACTTTTTTAAACGTAATAGCACCTGCCGTACATACGTTGAAAGATCGTACAATTTAAAATCAACGTGTACATCATCGACATATGTATGTGGTCATACACTGCGCACAAGTTGGCGCAGTCGACATGATTTAGCCGCATGTTGTTACACTCGTCTGATAAGGAACAGTGCCAAGTGCCACTGGAGGCTTACGTCATCACCGGTGCCTCACCAGTGCCTCACAAAGGAATACCTTCAGCTTAATCTGAAGAAATGCCGCTTCGGGGCACGTCAACTCGTCATACTTAGCCATGTCATCTGAAAGGACGGAATACTTCCACACCCGGACAAAGTTCGTGCAGTCACCGAGTTTCCAAAACCGACAACACTCAAACAACTGTGGAGCTTCGTCGGCTTGTGTTCTCATTTTCATCGTTTCGTCCGTATCTTTGAAATGGTAATAGCACCACTCACGAAACTACTTGCTCAGCC